AGATAAAGAATGTGAGATTTTTTTTTAAAGGAAGAGGAGTGTAAGTTGCAGATTTCTCTAGTTTGACCACAGCTTATAGAGACACGTGAGCTGTCGTTGAGTTTCAAACTAAAATGAAAAAGCCGCCCAGGGACGGAAATAAAAACTACTCACAATGAATATCGACACCTGTGAAATCCACTCGCAGACTCGCCCAGCACACCCCAAACCCACCCACCCCCCAAAAAAGTAACTTCCAAGTGTTATATTGTACATGTCCTTTGTTAAATATACAGTTCCTCCTCCTCCTCCTGCTTTTTACAAAGTCAACAGCTGACTAGTGAGCTAGCGAGCATGCCCTCTGTGCTAAAAAGGCTGTATTTTTATTTATTTTTTGGCCAGTCTTCCCCGATTAGCTAAATTCAATATAAAGCATACTGGTTTGTCTTCCGACGGACCTTTGAAGGTCTGGGATTACCGCTTGCATCCTCTCATCCTCTCCAAGGGCTTCAGTCCTTTGCCATTGTAAAATGAAATCCAATCTCATCTCCTTTCAAGTTCTTGCGTCTTCCTCGGCCAAAGGGTGACTTTTTTTAAAAAATAAAATAATAAATCCCTTCCAATTTGATTCACAATCCATTTATTTTAAAGGATGAAATAAGAACTTTTTTTTTTTAAAAAAAGGGGGGGAGATCCTAGGCTGATCGAAGAGACCAAAAGGAAAAAAAGAATAATAATCCCGAATAAGTGCCAACAGAGGGTACACAATGAAGTAGATTGCTATTTATTGATGATGTGAGTTTCTCTTTGCATTTACAAATGCACAAAAATGCCATTTAAAGTATATAACTGAAGGAAATAAATTGAACGTGAGCCTAACCATAGTGCCAACTAGCTGCAGTGATGGCAGGAACCACGTATCTGGGAAGAGAAAGAAGGGAAGGGAAGGGAAGGGGAGGGAGGGGAGGGGAGGGTGGCCTGCGGAGGCTGCCCACTTAAAGGTACTACAGACAAATATGTTGCCAAAGTTGACGGTCCTTAAGTCCATCCTTCCCTTCTGACGCCGACAATCTCTCCTCGTTTACATTTCCCCATAAAAACTCTCATTGGCACCCAAGCTTTTTTTTTATATATAAAACACCTTCATTATTATTTTTTTCTTTTTGCTCAGAAAAAAAAGGGGGGGCAGTCAATAATAGATACAGAGAAGCCAAACGGAACAGCCTCAAAATAAAATTAATCAAATCAGCAGCAAATCCTCTTGCTGGAGACTTCTGATCGAGTGTACGTGTACCAAAAGTCCTACGGTTGTTAAAAAGGTGCGCGCGCCACACACCCACACCCACACACACCCAACACACATACACGCCCACACCCACACATTTATCGGTTGCCCCCTTTCGCCTCGAACAAACAGGAGAGGGAAAGTCAGTTATGGATTTTAATAGCTTTTTCAAGGTACGTATAGCGGCTTCTCTTTGGGGCTTTGTTGAAATGGTCGAGCCCTAGCCATGGCCTGGGTTGAGACATGTTGCCTGGAGAGAGAGAGAGAAGAGAGAAAAAGAGAGAGGAGATAGAGGGTTTTGTACAAAATATATAAATAGAATGGACAGCCACATACGGAGCAAGCCCGATTCCCTGTCTAGCCTAGGCGTTTGGACTGGCTTTAACCCCCCCCCCCGGTCTGCCTGTTCTGCAGTTTCGGGAGAACAGCAGCCACAACTGAAGAATAGAGGGTAGGGCAAGGGGGGGTTTCGCAAATTGTGGGATCCGAGCCAGGAGTGCCATGGGAAAAGGGACACAACATATGGAGCTACAAAGGGTGCCAGGGAGCTGTCCAGTGCTCTCTGTCAAATAGGAGCCGGAGGTGGAAGCCATGGGCTTGCCTCTCCTTTTCCCGCCCTCTATGGTCCTCTTGAGTTTTTTTAATTCAGGACCTGGAAGTAGGCGAGCCCCTCGGTCAGAGGGTGGAGTTGGGGAGGAGATGGGACAGCCGGGGAAGGGGTGTCAGGATCCCGCCCCTGGGGGCTGCCAGACCCCTGATGGCCCCTCTGAGTGGCCAGAAAATCAAGGCCACAAGTCCAAAATGTTCTGGAACCACTGGAGTAGGCGGTTAATTGACCCAGAATTTATATACTTATTTTATTCCCACCCTGCTGTTCCCCCAATATACAGCCCAAGGCATCGATCTGTCTATCAAACTATCTTAATATACACTTCTTGAAGTTTTTCTACTTTCTTTAACGGCTCGTTTAATACATTATAGTTAATAAGGGGAACTCACCGGGTTGGGGCTCAAAATCTTTCAAGTTCACTTCGTATTCATCTTCATTTATATACTGGTGTCGGCCCATCATAACAATGGCAAACTTAAACTTCAGGAAGAACAAACGAAAAACACAACAGGGTCAGAGATCAGATGCAGATTGGTCAAGGGAGAAGTACCAACCGTTGCTGTGTTTTCAAAGTCGCCTTCAAGGGCCGTTCCGGAAGCCAGTGGTCTTTATTTATTTATTTATATCTGCTGGCGGCTACCCTTTTGCCATCCCAAAACTGGCCATGCTTAAGATTTCTACTCCACGGTGTTGAGCTTCTATTTCTCTTACGGCAAGGATAAGGGCCGTTGCTCTTTCTCTGCATCTCTCTGGGCGAGAGCTTGCTCTAAGCTGGCAGCAATGTATCCCCAGCACTATTATAAGCAAGGGAAGGCCCTCCTGCATTTCAGGCGACTGGCCGAGATGGCTGGTTTATATTTATTTGCCTTATTTATGGGCTGCCTTTCTCCCGATCAGAGAACTCAGTTACAATAATCCGGGGGCACAAAAGCAGGGCTGGTGGGGCCAGGCCCGGGGAAGACCCTTTGCACTGCTCCTGTCGCACACACACACCCCTTTTGCAGGCCCTTGCCAACAGCTGCCCATCTTCAAGAGACTGAAACTGGACCTCCTTTGGGCAGGGCCTTCTGGGAGAATAAAGACGGGAGGCAACCAACTGCGTCTGCACGGCTGTGTGGCTTTAGTACTCGCAGGTAACAAGGAACAGGGCCCAGATAGAGAAACCCACGCTCTCTACTCCTGACGGCCAGAGGCTTGTTCTTCCATTCAAAATTTTAAATTTATTTTCTGCTGGCTAGTACGTGCTGCTAAGGCCATGCTGGTCTTCGCCACCCAAGCACCCATAGGTTACCCTTTTTTCTTTGTGAAACGAGGAAAAACTTGGTGGTGGTGGGAGTTGAAAATAAGAAGCATAATAAGAGTGGACTCGTTGGGAAAAAAAGTCTCACTTGTTGATAACATTAGTGCATCTTATAGTGGCATTAAACGCACAAATGATTCACGAGATGTGGGCTCGGGGCCCTTGCAGCAAACCAGGCCTCTAGGAAGCCCCAATCAGGAAATCACAGAGCCTTAGCATCTATATTTCCTTCGGCCAGCCAGGCCCTTGTCCAACTGCAGGAGAAACGCGGGCAGGAGGGCAAAAAAGGAGAGAGGAGGAGACCCTTCCTCCCCCAGAAGCCCCCCACTTCTGAAGAACACGACACAGGAGCCCTGCCTGGGCTGAGTGACCGGCAGCCCTACCTTTTCAAACTCCTTTTCCTGGATGTCCAGCACGGCCTGAATCCTTTTCATCACCTCTCGGAAGTGTTCGCCCTAGAGAAAGGAGAAAACCCAGACAAGGGATAACCATGAGGGCCAGCAGGCTTCTCGGGAGGCTCAACGCCTCTCTCCGCGGGACAAGCACGGCCCTCCGCGTAGCTCTGCTTCCCTGACGGCCTCTGGAAAGTCTTCCCTCCCTCCGGATCCTAAAGACTGTCCCCTTTGTGTTGCTATGTCTCACTGCCTATTGACATACACGGGTGCAAAACCAGAATGCCACACACCTCACTTTCTTTAAGTCTGGTGCTGCAAAGGGACACTACTGCTTTTCCCTCTTCACTGATCGCCCTGGGTAGCCCATCTTCCAAGGCGCTTCTGCCATTATGGCATCGTTACTCGAAACCTCCTAGCTCCACGCTAGTCAGCAGGGCTCTGTGGCTGAGTAGAGGCCTTAGTGCTACTCCACTTAGCCCATGTGCCTCCCTCAATATCTACTCCTAGTCTCTCTCTCTCAATGGGTCACACATGGACCCCGGCTTCCAAATAACAGCCATCGAACACAAGAGAGGCAAGAGTTCCGTTTCACCGCTAGGCTCACCTGGTGTATCCTTAGCAAGAACGGAGTGCCAAACGTCCCAAAAACCTCTTTCTGGAAATGAGCCACCGTGATTAGCATCTCATTCTCCTTATCTAGATCTACCTGGTCCAGTGGGATTTCCTGCATTGAAAGAGAGAAGAACATAGTGCACAAGTCGGTGACGCCGACCATCAGAAACTTCAGCAGAAGAAAATGGCCGAAGGCACAGGAGAAAAAGGAGGGTTTCGCCCAAAACTGAGCAACCGCAGGCTGGTTCATTCCACTGAGAAGTCACAAAGTGAGCAAGCTTCCGTGTTTATTTGAGTACTCTATTAGGAAGGCTAGAAAACAAACAGAAGTGGGGAGAAAGGCAAAGGCTATGGGCCGGAGGACCCAAAGAATGAAGTTTATAATTTCTTGGGGCTAGTCAGAGGTGGACTTAATTCAGCTGGACCCTATTTGGTGAAAAGAGGTTACAGGGGGCAAGAACAGAACAGAGAACACTTGGCTGTTTTATTTTCAGCACAAGTTAGCATTCATTTGCAACCTCACTTCTTTTACCATTCTGTCTATGACTTTATTTGTTATTTATGAAGCCTACTGGATCACCTAATCCTAACCCAGATCCTTTCCTGGACCCTGGAATGTCCCGAACAGCTGACGAAGGCTGAATGCTAGAATCTCCCAGGATGGGGCTCAAACATTCCTATCTTACAGTGCATTTAACACTGACCTCTATTCGAAACGTCCGACTTGTTGCTGGCGATAAACACTCTAATAATTCATCTTCCTGATGGACACCGATTATTTTGTAACTTACAATTTCTAGCAGCCTGAACAAGAAGAGAAAGAGCCCGTTTTAGAAGACTGAACATGATGCAAGCATGTGATAATAACAGACGGTCCCGGTATGGAAATTTCCTTGAGTTTTTACAGGGCTTCTGCAGAAATCCTTCAAACCCAGCCTTGTGACAATTTCTTAGGAGGCTTTATTGTTCACTTCCCCGCCTCCTCCACTAAAGTTAATGGATACAATAAAACATACAAATGGATTGAGGTTTCTTTTGTCATTACCATATGTAAGATTTCTGCTGTCATCTGCTGCCACTGTTATTTTCTTTGTAACAACCCAGCCCATCTTTCATCACAAGACTCAAAGGTAAAAGCTGTCAATATTCCCTACATGAACACTCGTGATATCTCTGCTATATTCTTTCACTTTTATACTTACTTCTCTCCCTTCCTGTGTTTTTTAACAAAATCCCCAGTCTCCCTAACCCTACCTACTCCACTCCCACAATCTTTTCTCCACCCCCATCCCCGCTCATCTTTGTCCAGGCCTGGTCTCTATTTTCTGTCTCCTGGAGCAAAGTTTACAGCAGTGCCCTAAAAGACATAGACCATGTAGAGAACTGCATGTAGATGTATTCAAGAGCTAATGAATATTTAGAATGTTCTGCTTGTGAAACTGATATTCCATCCATTATTTCATTCTGTTTCCATATGTGTGACAAAGTGGACATGTCCACAAAAGCTTACATTAAACCATAATAGCTAGTCTTTATGGTGCTACCTATGTTTTTGTTTTTTGTCTCTTTAGATTTTGTCTGATGGAACACTTGTTCACTGCAGACTTCAAATAGACAGATAAACAAGACCAACCTTACATTAAAATATAATAGCTAGTCTTTATGGTGCTACAGACAGATAAACAAGACCAACAGAAAAACACTTGCCTTAATTTCCCTGAGCCTCTCTCAGAGAGTTCTACAGCTTTTTTACATTCTTCTAATAAGTCCCGTACACATCCATGCTTATCTGGATATAGTGTTATTTCCTGAATGAGACGAAAGGAATAAAAAGTCAGGGAAGGAATAAAATGGCATGACAAATACGGCGTTGTTAACATTATGGGAGGGCATTTGATGCCATGATTTTCTAATTTATCGAACACAGTATTTAATCAATTGTGCGCAACGTCAAGGAGGAGATCAGAGCGCCTTCCCCGTTTCTGACACTCTCCGGATGCGCGAAAATACGTTGCTCCTAATGCCACAATGTCCAAGACAGGCAAAGAGCTGTTTATTCAGACAGCCCTCCACTAATTATAACATCCTTCTAATCAACAGGGGGGCTGGTTGTTCAGCTGAAGTGTTTTACTGCATTTCATTTTGGCAAACAAAAGAGTAGTAAAATAATTAAAATAAACGTAGTAATGAATGGAATGAAACACAAGCCTCTTAATTAAGGCCAACATTCTCTGGCACCTACTTGCTTGGTGGACAAAGAGGAAGGACAACAACAGAATGATTCTAACTATCAGCTTCTAATGAAAGAGTTCCATGCCTGGAGCTTGGGGGAGGCTGCTTGCAGGCGACCTCACTTCCTCTGTGTGGCATCCACTGACACAACAGGATTTGGGCCATGGTATTTTAATCTGAACCATATTTTCACACTATCAGTTTAATTCTGTTTTAATATTTGCAACTTACTGATCTTAATGTTATTGTTTTTTCTAACTATACAGTAGGACCACGGTTATCCGCGGGATCAGTACTCAAGTTTCACTTATCCGCTACCTGAAAATGTTAAATTAAAAAAACCCAACAACCCAGAAATACACATTTCCAAGCTGTATTAAAAGAACTGGCCACCAGAGGGAAACCAGAGACTATGCAATAGAGAGGGTTTACTGTATCCACAATTTCCGGCATCTGCAGGGTGGCTTGAAACAGGATCCCCTGCAGATACCATACTCCTACTGTACTGTAAGCCACTTTCGCTCCCAATTCTGTGAGAAAGGAGGAATATAAATCTATTAAAACAAATGAACATGTTTACAGACTCAGTTCATCTACTGTCTTTAAGGCAGCTTGACTTACCTCTTCCCTAAACTGACTGTTTAACCATATGCACTTAAAACTTCTTCTGTTTTCAAAGTCTGTGATTTTCATTTTAAGCTACAACGACAAGGAAAATAAAGAGAGATTATTTAGTCGGCTGCCAACAGGCGAAATAATCTGTGCCCCATAAAGAGAAGAAAGTCTCCCACCTGCTGATAATAAAGTTTCTTAGGCTGTCTAGGCTTGAAGAACTGCAGGAGGTCTCTTAAAGTTCCATCATAATTATGTCTAAGAGGGTTACCTGGACCATCTCTGTAACTGGGCAAGAAGAAACAGGAGAGAAATCTCATTCTCGAGTCATATACAAATAATTCTACACAAGCATGCTCCCTAGAGGTTTTACAAAGGTTTCCAAAATCCCCGTTAAAGCTGGGAACCAATTCCAGGACCCGTGTTCAGGAATTGCAAGCCAGATTCATATTCCCCCCCCCCCCCATTCTTGCGCTAAGGATCTGAGGAGCCAACCTTCAGCACAATTATTGCTCTAAGACAAAGCCAAGTGTGTTTTAAGGGAAGTTGTGAGGTTTGTGTAGGGGGAATGGCTCTTACCCTTGAGACTTAAAAAACTGCAGTAGCATAGGGTCCGTATTAAGTCTTTGGGCGACTGTCTTTGCAACCTGGGGAGATAAAAGTGTTGAGAAAAGAAACAGATCAGAACAGAAGGTAACACAATCCATGCTGGCAAGAATGTTGTGATCCGAACACTGTGAGTCCACATGAAACCTTCCACTTACAGCCCTGAATGCCCCGAAACGTCCACCTTTTGCTGGGGAGGGAAAACACTTTTCTGAACAATATCTGGGCAATTATCAGTGTACAGCACCATTTAAAAGGAGCAACAGGGTTAAGAAAATCGGGCTGCAGTAATTATGCTTCCAGGGAAATGGGTATTACCCTCCCCCCCCGGCTTCCCCATTCCAGTAAATTTTCAAGGGTAGCTAAAAAACAAAACAAAGACAAAGGTATTTGTCTACAGTGGTGCCTCACTAGACAGTTACCCCACATGACAGTTTTTTTTTGCTTGACATTGACTTTTTGCGATCGCTATAGCGATTCGCAAAAC